GATGTTGTAGAGGAGGTTGAGACGAACATTTTGAGCTATTTTTCATATCAATAGCTGCTCAGCGGAGTTTAGCGATTGCATTTTTATGAGGACGTCTTTTTTGTAGATGAGTTCCGTGGAAAGATCTTCGCGCGTTCCCCGAAATTTAACTTTGCCCGACGAAAATTTTCTTGCTACCGTCATTGTAATGTTAATATTTTACACCCCCTAATCATTACCCGATCCAAGTAATCTACTTTGAAAAGGGCTTTTCAGATAACAAAATACGTACCTTCTGTTAAACTATCGAAATCTTTCGGTAATGGTTTAACACGTTCTTCCATATAATGTTTTTTCGCTTCTGAGCGTTGTTGCGCAACATTTTTCAGTTTATCCGCGGCCACTTTCATAATGAGTAACTGAACCAGGAACCGTATGTTACTGTATTATTTGCAGCTCACATTAAGAGTGGTATGTTTTTGAAAAAAAACATGTTTTTCAGCATTTTGCCTCATTTTTGAAGTTCCAATAAAAACTTTAGTTTTAGATATTCACAGTTGATTTTAGCGTAGTTCGATAGGCGACACTAAATTGTATATGCAAAAAACTTTTGCGTTATTCTCGAATGAAGTTTGACGCACAAATTTGATTTTTACCTACTCGATGTAATTTCTGATCTGAAAGTATTTTGGAAACAGCCTCACGGTTAGTTTTGCTTGAAGCAAGCGTCCGATGCACAAGAGAAAATTACAGTATCTTGTGAGTTTTTACGGCTTTCCGTTACTTTCATCTGATTCAGAAAAAAGTTGAGTTGTGATCGAAATTGGAACTCTTTCCGACAATGATAGACCGTCCTTGTAGTTTTCAAATTAAAAATCGTCGAGGTGAATTTTCTGATAATCCTCGTGTCATATGGTGTAAAAGTACATTCTGAAGAACTTTTACGCACACATTTTTGCGGCGTAATACTTCCTTTAAGCAAAACTACTGGCAAGAGCTTTCAGAATACACAGTTTCGGCCCCAAAATCCCATGAGGAAGGTAAAAATTACATTTTCCTGGGAAAGCTAAAATAATTTTCGCATATAGAATTGGATATCCTCTATCGAACTAAGCAAAAATCAACTCTTTATATTGAAATGTGAACTTTTTATGAAAAATTTGCAAAAATGGATCGAAAAAACTTAAAATTATTTTTGTTAGCGAGGCAATGTCCGCAAGCCGAAAAACCTTCAGGACATACACTTCAAAGTGTCCACTATAAACTGGAAAAATTTGGAGGAAATCTAAATGGAGGACTCCCTTAAACACCTACCCTTAGTTTTCGCTTTTTTTCCGGTGTTAAACCAAATCGCTTCTTTTTATCTGCCGCATCACGTGCATCTTGACGTTTACGCTCGCGGTCTGCTTTCTTATGAGCTTTTTCTTCATCTTCAGTTAGCTGAATAATGAAAAAATATAAAGTAATGTTCATAGAGTCATACGGTACAGATGAAGTTACCATGTTTTTACTAGAATATGTTCACAAATCAAATAAATACGTTCTGATAATGATTATTATCGTTTCACTGACAACGAACTTGGCATTTTATTGTCTGTTTGTAATGTTGTATAATCCACATGGAATGATCACTTTTTTTGTGCTGTCAATGAGAGAAATACTAGTGATGTGCTCTCTCTAGATAGAAAATACATTGATTTGCATATAAATATGTGTTGTACATTATTCTGTTTTCCTAGTCTCATGTACAGTCAGCAAAGTATGTATGGAAAGAGAGCAATCATAAACAGAGAAAAGATGAGTTTGCTTCATTCTATAAATGGTACTGTCTCTTCTCTTATTCTTTTGTTAACTTCTTAGGATATACTAAAAATAAACATTATTAATTCGCCAAGTATATCAATTACAATGTGTCAAAATAACAAAAACCACCTGTCGCTAAGGCATAGCTCTCTAATTTTAACGTTATTTACTGTAAAAGTAGATATCTGTGTGTGTCTGAGTAATCATTTGAACGGAATGCTCAGAGATTTCATTGCTTTTCCCTCTGCTCAATACGAAAAACATTCCACGTTGACTGCTAGAGACTTCGTAAGGGAGAAGAAGAAAGTTAGATGTAATGACTCAGTTTTATGGACGATTTCAAATCGAACCAGAGTTAGATCCGTTTGAAAAACTTCAATCAGATCGAACCGGCCGATCGAAAAGTTTTTCTAAATCGGTAAAAAGTCTATGCCACTAAAACGTATGTCTCTGTGACCGTTCAAGAGATGAAAATATAGGCACTTGTAAAAAATAAATAAATGACGCGTGACGTGATCGTCAGACAAAACAGAACAAAGTGAACAGAAATATAATTAGATCGAAGATATATATGCGATAGTGCTGACGAAGGAAATGCTAACTAGTCGTTCCCTTTAGCACATTACTTTCGCAAGAAAAATGAACAAATCGTAACTAATTATTATGTGTTCATAAACACACGTATATTTGTGTTCATCATTACTTGTTGAATACATAGCTTGACATTCCTTAAAATCCTTCTTAAAATTATAGGCGTTATTAGGTGAAAGTGTATACTAAAGCAAAGATATGATTCAGAGCTAATCAATATCTAATTAATTAGAATCGAGCTGATGCATTCGAACAATTAGCACTCTATTAACTTTTTGTATTCCTTGCTGGCTTATGAGGAGACATCTCCAACCGATAAATCGTTTTTTGATCGAAATCTAGTGGGTTATAGGTTATTGACCATGCTGATTCCGAATATGACTATGGGAGTTCCTCGCCCCGTAGCCTTCAAGACTACCAATAGTCACCGGGTGCCACTCCTGGGACTCGTAGAAAAGCCGATACAACGCCCGAACCGCAGAAAATCAAGCTCTCTCTTTACTTCCATTTTGAAGAGAACACCCCGGGCTGTCAACCTATGGCGAAAAGCAATACAATCCGATTGGGAAGTTTTTACAGACGGCTTAATTTTTCAAAGATCTCTTAGAAAACTCTTCTGAAAACAATTTTGGTTATGAAAATATGTCTCAAAGTCTCCTGTTTCTAAGGGCAAAAACCGCAGTTCTCTGCCTCTTTTCTATCACAATTTATTCAAAACATAGTCATGGGAGCTGGTTTTCGGCGTTGATAATAGTATACTGCAATTTTTATACATTTAGCTAGATCATTAAAAGGGATTTTACACAATATACGTTGTGCTCCGCCATACTGTGTGTGACATTTGCTTTAATGGTAGCTGGTGAGCAGCCATCTGTGACTAGAATTCTCAAAATATGTCCCCTTCTGAATGTAATGCTAAAGTCCTTTAGTGAACCCTAGAATTGTCCAGCTCACTAGTTCCAGAAGAAAATCGGAATCACGTAGTACCCTGATGTCGGCATACTCCTACGTTTGTTCAGTTTTCAGTTCCAAACTATTTAAATTTTAAAAAAGTTAAAACTTTACAATTTAAAATTTAATTTCAGAACTTATACTTTATGCTAGAGACTCAAATTTTTTTTCAAATTGTAGCCTGTTTAGTTTTCAATATGATGGCCGTCTTGAAATTCTTTCAAACGTCACCAGTGCTTTTGGAGTAAATATGTTTTTGTACATGGATATCTAAAAAACAATGGCTATCTAGAAAGACTAATTCAAAGCACTTTAGAAAAACAGTATGTGAGGCAAAGGAACGAGCACATTTAAAAGCCCTTAAGCACCGAGTTTCATTAAATTTGGTCCAATAATTCACGAGCTACGTAAAGTTGAACCTTTTATGTAGGTAAAGTTTAGCGTCTTTTGGTGGTGTTTCTAGTCTATGAGCATGTAAAATTGTTGTCATCGGTGGCGGTTTGCTGAATTATTGGCGTACAGAGTGCGCTTTAGTTAAATTCAAAATTACGGATTATCGCTGGGGTGGTCATATACAGTTTGTCGTACAAATAAATTAAAAATAGTAAAAGTGACCGGCACAAAGTGATGATATACTATTGTTATTTTATAATGTAATGATGATTTCGTTGTCATATTGTTTCAGATTTATCTAAATATACATTGAAATATATTAATTAATTTTTAAGTTAGATTTAATATATTCAGATTACTAATTGTTGAAGTTGTTTGTTCAATACAGAGAAGAAATAAAAAGAATTTGAATACTTTCTCATGTTTCTATTGAACATTTTTCTCTTCAGTAATGATACTATATAAAATGCGTCATTGAATAAGATATTTAAATGTTTAAAATCATAATGTGTGTGTCTATTTTTCTGAAGTTTTTAGAGCTTTGTTATTATCAGCAAAACCAAACACAAAAACTCTTTCTTTTTCTAAAACATTTATGATATAAATATAGAATAAACGAGAAAAATTTATAATTATCAAAGTAAAACGGTTGATTCATTATGAAGAATAGGAAAAAAAATAAAAAAAATTATCAATTGTGAAAAAAATGAACTAATGATTTGTGACTGTAAAAGTAATAAAACAAAAAACGTACACCTTTTTTAAATTTGACGTCATAATTGTTTTAGCACGCGTTGGTTTAAGCTTTAATCTTGAACCAGAACGAAATCGAGAATATAAATTCCCATTATATCATTCTGAAACTTAAACTATCAAAACACAAAATCAATCCTTGCACGAAGCTAGGATCGA